TGGCAGATGGTGCCATGCAGAGAAAAGTGGGACGATGGAAATTTGTACAGATGAGCTCATGTCCCCCACTGCTCTTGCCCGCAGCAGGGCGTTTGTGGTGAAGATAAGTTATGATTTGGGACAGGCAAATGATCCAATCACTTATCTGATTTTGGGTCCCGAATGAAGTGGCAAATTTTAGCACGTTTGATGGACGTGATGGTACATGCTTTTAGGAAGTATGGGCTGATGCTTGCCTGCCGTGGGATTTCACACATGGGCTATGACCCTGCAAATAGGTTTCTTTATCACTGCTGTGCTTATGGCATACATTTTACTTCCGGGTGCACACACTAGCCAGCGTTATTGCAAGGGAAAATGTTTCGTTTAACAATTTTGGCTGAATCTATCGAAGTTTCCATCTTTTTGACGCATACCATTTTAGTTCAGAATTGCTTCACGTAGTGGTGCTAGTGAGCAATGAAATGCTGTTTTACATTATTTCTCGTGATTCTGAGTGAGTTCCTTCAAATGGTAGAGAGTTAAGTTGAAACATGGTATATTTTGTAGCACTAGTCAGACAAAAATCTTGAAAATATTTTTCGATACTGTTAATCAGTTTAAAAAGAACTTTCTGATGAAACAGAGGGAGTATAATTAAATCTTACTTTTATTTTTTGACTTTGATTGCGTATAACGGTAAGTTACAGGGCGTAAATCGAAATCTAAAATTTCTACCGTCATAGAAAGGTGTTAGGTTTTGAACGCTTATAACTTTTTCATTTGTAGATTAAATCAAAATCCAAATGCACCAATTGGTAGGAAATAACTCTTCCAATCTTTTTCAAAAATTGCTTTTCCAGTTTTTCGATACAAAAAACTTTGATAAATATTCAAATAAAATGTAATAATTTTATCACTATACTCAAGAAAAAAAAACAGTACTACTTGGTAGCGCATCATTCTGCTTTGACCTGTAAAGATATAAAACAGCGCTACATTTTCCCATAGGACGGTGATCATTCTCTGCTTGACCGTCAAGCAGTTCAGTTCAGTTCTGATTCCCGCTCGCCTTCTCGAGTTGTTCGGTTTTAGTTTGTTTCGTTTTTCGTTTTTTTTTTTCGTTGCGCGCCGTGGAAGTGTCGTCATTGTCACACGCTCTGGCAAGTTTGGTTCAACTTGCCAAAAACCAGATGGAGCGTCAATGAACGACGATGAAAACCGTGTGCTGCAAAGCAATCAGTTCTCAGTGCCCGAGGAAGACAATGGAGGTGGTGGTGACGCCGTTGCCATCACAAAATAGGAGCGGATTCCCCCACTCTTCACTTCAATGAAGGATGTCGACCAACTTAGGACTGTGTTGACAGATCAAAATCTACAGCCTTGGTTTAAGCTGTGCAGCGTCGGAACAAAAATTATGTGCTCCAGCTTGGATGAGTACAAGGCTATCGGAAGTTTCCTGATGGACAACAAGGTGGATTTTTACACACACGATTTGCCATCGCTGAAGCCACTGAATGTAGTTTTGCTAGGTTTGCCATCATTCGAGGTGGCCATTGTGAAGGCTAAGCTGGAGCGGTTTGGCCAACAACCAGAGGCAGTGTATCCGATGAATCGGCGACCCTTGCCGAACACCAGCTACCGGGATCAGCTATTCCTAATTCACTTTATCAAGGGCTGAAGGACAACATCCGGGATCTGTTCCAAGTCATCATCTCTTGGCAGTCGTACACACCTCAACACCGTGATGTAACGCAGTGCATGATATGCCTCTCTTACGGACATGGCACGAAAAATTGCCATATACGCTGTGACAAGTGTGGAGGTACCCACGCGACAGCGTCCTGTGGTCATGCTGATTACAACGAGCCAAAGTGTGTCAACTGCGGTGGAAACCACCGTGCGTCCACTCGCGACTGCCCATAGCGAGCGGAATTCATTAATATTCGTCAAAAGGCGGCAACAGGCAACCGACCGACACCGCAATAATCGTGCACCCCCGGCCATCACTGATGCTCAGTACCCTGCAATCCAGCCCCTACGACTGGTCCCAAACCTAGCTCCGCTTCCCCTTAACAATCAACGAGCCCTTAGCACACCCGCTGGGTATTCTCCAACAGAGCAAGCGGCCCCCAACCGTCGATCAGCCCAGCATCGCCTCACTGCTGCAGCGGCCCAGCCGAACCAAGGTCCCTTCACTGCTCCTGGTTTATCGTATGCCAGTGCTGTGTCAGGTGAGTCCGTCGACGATTCCCCATTTACCTCGGAGGAACTTGTGACACTCGTGGCAGAGGTCATCATCATCCTGCGCACCTGCAAGACCCGACCTGAACAGCTACATGCTGCCCTGACCCTTGTCACTAAGTATGGATCGTGAAGTTATAGAGATTGCAAATTGGAACGCTTGTTCGCTGAAGAACAAACATATCGAACTCCTTAACGCCAAGGAGATCGACATTGCCATCATCACCGAAACCCATCTAAGGCCGGTAGTCAACATCTACCTATCGGACTTTCGGCTCTTGAGACTCGACAGAGCAAGAGGAAGGGGAGTAGCCATTGCTGTGAGGCGTAACATCAACTGCCACCTGCTGTCGTACTTTCAACTCAAAATTATCGAAGCCATCGGGGTTGAAGTTGGCTCATCGCTTGGCCCCATCATTGCAGCTTACTGCCCCAAACAAGTCAACAACATGGATGGGTTGGCAGCGGACCTTCAACGAGATATCATCAAGCTGACTCGGCGGCGGCAAAAGTACATCATCGCTGGCGACCTGAATGCCAAACATCAAGCTTGGAGCAACAGTCGGCGCAACATGGGCAACAACATTTCGCAACCGTGTCGTGTATCAGGAACTCAGCTCGGACCACTATCCGGTGGTAGTTGAAGTGGGTTCCTCAATCAACAAGTTCCAAGCATCACGGCAAAACTACCATCGGGTAGAATGGTCGCAGTTCCAACACTGCATTGACACCAGTATCGACTATGACGTCCACCCGGAAACGACCGACGACTTCGACCGACGACATCGACCGACGACATTGACCGACGATATCGACCGGTGTCTGCGCTCCATCGATGAAGCGACTTCCAGGGCCAGGGAGCAACACGTGCCAGTATCCAGACAGATGGGTAATACTCTGAACCTTGACAGATCTACCAAAGACCTTACAAGACTCCGTAACACCATCCGAAGGCAGTACCAACGCTCTGGCCTGTCATTAAGACCCACTGTAATCATCTAACAAAACCATCCAAGCCAGGATGGTGGCCCTCGAGTGCTTGAAGACCAGCCAGGTGGTGAATCTCAGAATAACGAGTTCGCGGTGGACTGTTAAGGATCATTCTGAGGATCTTGTTTTGGATCCTCTGAAGCTTTAGGTGGTGGTACTTAGCACAACTCTCCCAGATTGGCCCATACCATACTCAATAGCCGGCAGAATGATCAGCTTGTGGACAGCAAGCTTGTTTTTGAGGGACAGGGATGACTTCCTGTTTATCAGAGGGTAGAGCGACCTGATCAAGATGTTACACTTGGTGGATGTCTAGTCCACATGGGATCGAAATAGCAATTTGCTTTCGAGGGTGAGACCAAGGCAGACTACTCCACTCGGCCATTCAATAGGAGTGCCATCAAGATGGACCTTGACGTTAGCAGGTGGAACAAGCCGAGGTGAATTCGAGTGTGGAAACAGAATGGTTTGTGGTTTAGCTGCATCGATACAAATCTTCCAGCTCTTGAAATAGTCGGACAGAACATTCAGGTCTGATTGTAGTTTACTCGCCAGAGCACGGATCACTCGACTCTCATAGATGATGGAGGTGTCATCTGCGAACATTGACAGGATACCACCACCCGGCAGGGGAGGAACGTCTGACGAGAAGATGTTTAATAGGATAGGCCAAAGCAGGCTACCCTGAGGAACCCCATGCATCAACGTTGAACGTATCAGAAGGGACATTGTTCAAGTAGACCTGGAATGATAGGCCAGACAAGTAGTTTTTGATGATCTTCACGAGGTAGATCCAAAATTTGTATCGATGCAGCTTGTACACTAGGCCATCATGTTGCCAAACACCTTCTCGACGTTCAACAATGCCATGGCAGATGTATTGGAAACGGACTTGTTCCGCTTGATGATGTTAGTAACCCGTGCGAGTTGGTGGATGGTAGAGTGGCCTTTCCTAAACCCGAATCGCTCTTTGAGAAAGATGTTATTATCATTTAAAAACACCAGCAGACGGCTGAGTATCAACTTTTCGAATAGCTTCGAGATGGAGAACAAGAGGCTGATGGGGAGATAGCTTTTGGCACTGGTAGGATCTTTGCCAGGCTTGTGAGTTGGAATAACTTTGACCAACTTCCAGCATGCAGGGAAGTAGCCAAGCTCCAAACATTTGTTGAAGATAACCGTGAGATTTTTGAAGAAGTCAATACTTAAGTTAAATATTTATTTCATCAAATTTCATCAATCGTAATATAATATTCTATAGATTGGCGTATTTGGATTTTTCTATTATTTATAAATGACAAAGTTACAAGCGTTCAAAACCTAACACTATTTCACCACACATTTTTTTTTTATTTAGCCCCCCCCCCCCCCCCCCCCCCCAAGTCGACAAAGACGTAATTCTACGTCAAAAGCGAGGTCAACTGCTTACATAGAGAGGTACATGAACCATGAATAGAGAGTTGCACGCTTAGGCCCGTAACTATCTTGCACAGTACATCTTGAAAATGCTTGCTAGAGGGTCAGATGGTCCAAAGAGATTAAACGGAATTCAAAGGAAGCAGGGCTAATCACACCAGTTTGTTTCTGCAGCCCACCCGAACCGGAATAAATACACTAATTTCAGTTTTTACGCAAATGTTTTCGCCTCTATTTTTGATTTGATAATCATTTAGAGTTGTTTGAATCACATGACCGTTAACAAGACTTAGAAGACTGATCAAAAGATTGTCATCTGAGCATACATTTATGTACATGAAATCTATTTAAATCTCTAGCGATGCACTTACCTCCAGCCGACTCGGCGAGTGCCATAACGAGGGCTAGGATGGCGGCCCTCAGTGGGCTCACGAGTTTCATTGCTGCTAGAGTAGTTGCCGATGCTGTCGTCGTCGACTACAGTTGTTCGCCACCAGCTGCAAATCACCACCGCAACGACTGCCGCCTTCCTCTTCCTTTGAACCTTCGACTCTACAGTAGCAGCAGCAGCAGCGGCAGCAGCTGGCGGTAAAATCGTCACAACAATCGCTTGCAGTATTACTAAAGGTACTTGCTAGTGTTAAGCTTGATACGGTACTATCAACGTGGGTAACGGTAGCTGTGTTCGTCTTCACCTTCGTCTGTGTCGTCGTCGTCGTCGTCGTCGTCTCCGGATGGTGGTACAGACGTTGCTGGTACTGTGGTGCCATTCGAAAAGGAACCCAAACTATCGGAGACAATAGACACAGGAGACTCCTCGTCGTCACACGCCCCACGTCGACTCACAACAGCTACTCGTTACACGACCTTGGCGGTTGAAATCAATCGAGTTTCGTTTTGCAGATATTGACTGTTGAGTTTGGAAAACGGTGGCCATCGGGGCCTACCACTCAGTGGATGCACACAAACACACACGCGCCCGAATAGTGAAACATCCACTCTAAAAGCGTTAGTTTTACTCGTAGTTCCTGTTATCCAAACTGCACTGAAACCTCTGTAGAACCGGGTCGTGATTCTACTTTTTCTTTCGTTTAGAAATCGTTGAAAGAAGGAAACGGCTTCCTCTAACCTAGTTTCTGTTTTCTTCTCCGTCTTACCGTATATCTCTACCGACTACTTATCCATACATAGGAAACAAAGGGACTACTTTCGAAGGTGCACTTAATTGTTATTTTCTCTGTCCTTGTCGCGCGCGCTCAAAGGAGTTCCCCTCCTCTCGGATTCGTTTTCCGCCTTTGTTGTAATTCTATTGTGTTCCGTTTTTTTTTCTTCTTCTGTATCCCTCTCTTCAGGCTGTTTGTGTTTCTTTATACTGTCATCCACCCGAGAGAGGAACAACTCTGGAGGATGTGCAAGGACTATTTCTCCACGTCCGAGTTACTGCCCCAGTGAGTCAGTTAGTCTGTCGCAATTTCAATCCCACCCAAGTGGGTGTAGTTTTCTTTTGTTGTTGTTGTTGTTGTCGTTGCTGATGTAGTTTTATTATTCTTCGTAATTCCCGAGACCAGAGCTTGCGAAGGCTTACCTGTCGATGGAGAAAGAAGCGAGAGAGAGAGAAAAATCAGTTTGATATAATTAGAGCGGAGCAATTTCATTTGCTTTTATGATCTGTTTGTGCGGGACTTTGAAAAGATGGAAAAACGGGAAGGGAAAGTCGGTTTGAAGGAGGATAGTTTGAGAAAAAACAAAACGGTATGAAGAAAGCTTTTGCAGCTTGCAGGATTATAGAGGGTTATTTTTCTATATTATCCACCTTGCTTGAACAGCGGTAATCCATGCGGACTTTGAGGAAAAACATTAGTTTTTTTCCTGTCGCTATGGACTTATACTAACGCAAACAGAGAACTTTGTAACGCAGTGCTTTGATGGTTGATCAGTAGAAGCAAAAAACCTGCAGTGCTGATTTTAAAATAGTTTTTATCCAGGTTGAATATGCGCTGATAACGTTGGAATAATGGTGTTTTGCTTGTTGATAGATTTCGTTATTCAATCATAATTATCAATCATAGGAACAACCCCCTCTCTTACAGGATAATGAAAAGTTGGAGATGCTTAACATCAATATTAGGCTTAAGTTGAAAATTTTGTGCGAAGGATGAGGCGTTTGATGTATAGAATTGATAGTTCCGTTGTAGAACGGCAGTGGGGAAATTGTATATAGAAAGCAGAAAGCGAACAAAGGACAATTAAAAGTACGAGTCGGATCGAGCATTCCCTTTATTAAACTCATCTGTTGATGAGGGGCGTTGAGGGGTGTTTTCCCTTTCTATCGGTTGTTACATACTCGAGTCGTAAGTATCTAGCGGATGGTTTTGAAATTGAAGCTATTTTATTTCCTCTAGCACTGTCTATGCTCCCCTCATCGTCAACTTGAAGATCTCAAGGAGTGTTGGAATTAGATGGAATCGTATTGTTAATAACCAATTCAGTTTCGGCCCCCTCTTGTACTAACTCTGGTGTTAAGAATCATTGTTAAACATAAAATGGATGTCGGCTCCGTAAAGGTTCCGCTTTTGAGTCTTGTTTCATACATCAATTCATATTAGCTTTTCAGGCCTAGTTTACGAGTCACGTTCATATTATGTGAGGTGACAAAAGTTACGTCATGTGAGGTGACTCTCCATTTGATTTGCACTACTAGTGATATAACGATTACTTGACTTGTGATAGGGGTTTTCAAGCTTTTAAGGCCACGGAGCACTTTTTAAGATAAATTACCTTCGTGGAGCAACGATTTTTAAAAAATTTTGTGTGACAAACACCGCTAAAACTACTCCACAGTCAAACAGTATATGAGCAAGTCAAACGCACATCTTTTTGCCTATGGATTTGAGGAGATACCTCAAACCTCCTCACCCATCAAATGTGTGCTAGGTAAAGGAGTGCTCATTTGATTAGTATTGTCGCATTATTGGCCCTATCGTTAAATATCAACTACTGTTCAATTTTCACATTGCCGTACTCCTCCCTCTTCTTGCTAATAAATTGTACTATAGCTTCATATTGATATCAGTAAGGCATTTGCTCCCAACGTTTTCTTTATATTTAAATAATTCTACCCCATTTGGCATAATTCCGATTGTCATAATGCAATTTTGTAATGCAGTGCTGTAAATATGGAGAAGAAAACTTCATGTGCGAAGAAATAATAATGACCGAGATTTGCACTTTAGAAAATTTGAAGTGATTAAGCAGTCAGCCATCATTTGCAAATTTAAGAAAATATCCAAAGGTGAATCCTTACTTCAATTACAAAGATATGAAGTCAAGTTGGACAATATTGACGAAAATCTTCATTTCACTTAGCACTAGTAAAGTCCAAGACTTCAGAACCACTGACACATCTGTTGACGGCATCGTCGAGCCAGTGTTTCTTCAAAGATTGACGAAACTGATGATTACTAAAACAGGCTCATGAACAATCAGATCCGGCAAATCTGACAGTTGGTCAAATTTTTCAAACCGGATCCAAACTGGATCAATTGTATGACGGTCTTAAGACCTACAAAGTCATCTTAAGTTGTCGTACTGGTTCAGGTTAAATCTGAAGCTTTACTAGCTTATCTTAAGTATATGAGCTTAAAAGTTCTCAAACTTTTTCAAATATCCCCGAACCCAAGTAACACAAATTCATAGAATTATGAAGAGTAAACTGCTGTACCACCAAAACCAGTCATACAAAGGCTATACAAGCTGTGATAGAACATATTTGTTGCTTGAAAAGCTCTAGGAGTTAATAGTTCTCGGAGCTTATCTCAAGCACTTGGACTTCTCCAAAGTTTTTGGAACTACCAAAAAAAAATCCTGGAAACTTCTCAAAAGTTCTTGGAAATATTTTGAACTGTTCCTTAGCTTAAGGTTCTTTCCAGAAGTTTCAGGACCTTTTCCTATGCGCTTTAGGAATTTATCCGAAAGTCTCGAAATTTCTCCGAAGTACTAGGAGCTAATCTGAAATTCTTGGAACTTCATTGAAATGCTTTACACTTTGCTAAAATCTTCTGATCTTATCGCAAGATCATTAAAATTGGCTTGTTTCCTTAAATTAATTTCTAGAAGGTTCGCTAGAGATATTTTTAATTTGACGTTTATATATTACCTATACTAGTTTTTTATTTACGTTTTTCAACCTAAGTTTTGACATTTTGCAGACACTTTTTAAGCTTTTGAAGCTCCGCTGAAGTTTGCAGACCATATTTCAAGTATTAAAATAAGTCAGAAGTTTTGAAAGCTTATCGTAAGTACTTACATTTCTCAAAAGTTCTTGGAACTTCTTAAGACTCAGTTCTCCTAAGATCTTTGATATGCTCAGAAATTCTAAGAACCTTCCAGAAGTTTAGAGAGCTTATGAGAAGTTCCCGGAACAAATAAGAAGTTTTCGGAACTTGTCAGAAGGTCTCGGAAGTTTTATTTTCCTTGATTTGTTTTCCGTCGATCTTGCTGAGCAAGAAGGCAGCTCCCACACCTGGACCCTACCTATCGACCCTTCAACTCATCGACCGGGGACCAACGACTTTACTTCCCTTCCAAAGGAAGGCATGATCAGAGATTGTATGTCTCAGAAAATCCCAGCGGCGCTGACTGGGATTGAACCCAGGCCTTTTGGGGTGAGAGACAATCACGCTTACCGTTACACAACCGGTGCCGCTGAAGAACTCGGAAGTTGTCAGAAGTTGTCAGAATTTCTTAAGACTAAGTTCTTTAAAGGTTTCGGAAATTCGTAGATATTATTGCAACATTTCAGAAGTTAAAGAAAATTGTTTGAAATTTCCGAACTTGTAAAAAGTCTTCGAAGCTTGATTCAAAACTTCTTAACACTCAGTTCTTAGAAGTTCTCGGCATTTTTTTAAATTTTTGGGGGGTCCTTTAAAGTCAGAAAATTCCAAACCTTTCAGAAGATTTCGGAATTTGTTAGAAATTCTCGAAACTTGTCTAAAGTTCTCAAAACTTGTCAGAAGATCTAGGAACTCGTCAATTAATCTTAGAACTTCGTTAGGTCTCGGAACTTGAAAGAAGTTCTCAGAACTTGTTAGAATTTGTTAGAAATACTCTAAACTTGTTTGAAGTTCTCAGAACTTGTCAGAAGATCTAGGAACTCGTCAATTAACCTCAGAACTTCTTTAGGTCTCAGATCTTGAAAGAAGTACTCAGAACTTCTTACGACTCAGTTTTTAAAAGGTCTCGAATCTTCTCAGATGTTTTTAGGACTTTTCAGATATTTCCAAACTTGTAAGAAGCCTTCGAAAGCATTCAGATGTCCTAGAACTTGCCAACAGTTCTCATAACTTCTTAAGAATCGGTTCTTAGAAGTTTTCGGAAATTGCTAGATATTTTTGGAATTTTCCATTGGTTTCCGGAAATTGCCAAAAATTTACAAGCTTTTCAGAAATTCTTGAAATTTCTTTGGAGTTTTCGAAACATGTCAGAAGATCTTGAAAGTTGTCAAATAATCTTTGAACTGGTCAGAAGTTCTTAGAATTTCATAAGGCTCAGTTATTGGCACTTCGTATATGTTTTTAAAAGTTTTCAGAAGTTTCCGGATATTGTCAGTAGTTTACGAACTTGTATGAAGTTTTCGAAACTGGAGTCGTCAGAATTTGTTGGAAATTTGCAGAGCTTCTTAAGGCTAAGTTCTTAGAAGTTCTCGGAAATTCTTATGCATATTTGGAACTTTTTAGAAAATTCCAAAATTTTCAGAAGCTTTTGGAACAAGTAAGAAGTTCTCGATACTTGTCACAAAATCTTGGAACTTGTCAGAAGATCTATAATTCGTCAGAAAATCTCAGAATTTCATAAAGATTCAGTTCAGATTCAGAATTTCTTGTCAGATGTTTTCAGAACTTATCGGGAGTTGTCAGAACTTGCATAGGTTCTCTGAACTTTTCAAAACTCAGTTCTTAGAAATTTTTGGAAATTCTAATATATTTTTGGAATTTTTCAGAAGTTTATGGAACTTGTTAAAAATTCCAAACTTTTCAGAAGTTTTCGGATCCTTTCAGAAATCTCGAAACTTGTCAGAAGAAGATCTAGGATTCAGCAGAAAATCTCAGATTTACTCATAAATCAGTTCTCAGAAGTTTTCGGAATTTCTCAGATATTTTTGGATCTTTTCAGAAGTTTCTGGAACTCGTCAGTAGTTTCCGAACATGGCATAAGTTCTTGAAGCTTATCAGATGTTTTCAAAACTCTTCAGGAGTTATCAGATCTGGTCATAAGTTCTCAGAATTTGTCAGAAGATCTCAGAACTTCTTACGGCACAGTTTTTAGAATTTCTCGCCAATTCTTATATATTTTCGGAACTTTTTTAAATGTACGGATCTTGTTAGAAGTTTCCAAACTAGAATCAACATTGAATTTTTTTAAATGTTTAGAAATGTTCGAAACTTGTCTGAACTTTTTAATAGTTTACGAAC